TTTTTTTTTTTTTTTCTGATTTAAAATAAAAAAAATTCTGAATTAAAATAAGTTAGTAAATTTAATATAATTTGGTTAATTCAATGAAATTATAATAATTTTATGTTTACAGGATGTCTAATTGGGCGAAAAAATTCGGACTGGGAAAAGGGAAAGGACCCCTGATTCGTCCTCCTGCAAATCCGGTGGAGGAGACTACTGCGGAACGGGAGGGAAGGACACATAATAGAAATGTTACCAGTTCTAAACGTCGTGGGGAACGCACTGGTGCTTATGTACCCCCCACGTACGATGATTGAGGAGGAGACAGAGACAGAGGCCGAGCAGGAGATGGATGCACCCATGGACGCATATATGCATCCGCAGGAGTACGAGTACGATCCACAACTACGCTTTCAGCAGAAGTATCAGTTTCCGGTGCCGGATTTTCCATCCGATGACGATTACGAGCATGTTCCGACTCCGACTCCGACTCCGCCTCCTGTCCCGATAGGTGGTACTTTCGGTGGTTCTAATCCTGTCTCGAGGTCCCGCACCGCACCGAGAAAAAAATTTCCTTCTCGACCTTGGATGTTGACTGGTGAGACACCCGGTGGACCTAAATACGCTCATTTGATTCCGAGTTTTGGAGCACATATTGCCTATGACATTTGGGAGGGAAAGGTAATACTTATTAATATTAATAAATTTTGTTTATAATATTTACACTTGATTGTGGTATACTTATATATGAATATATCTTTAACAGGGTCGACATATGGTTAAATTACGGTCGCACGCGAAGTGTACTTGGCCGGGCCCCGACGACGATGATTGTGTCTCACTACTGGAAAGTACGGGCTTGTATCACTTGCGTGATTGTTCGCTGCCTCAGCACAATAACCCACTAATAGAGGCTTTTATTGAGAGGTGGCAGCCAGACACCAACAGTTTTCACATGCCATTCGGTGAGATGACAATTACCCTCCACGACGTGCATTTCATCATGGGTTTGCGAGTTAGTGGAATTCGCCATAACGTTTGGATGGATAAGGCTGACGCGATCCAGCTTGGTGCGAGAGCTTTCGGGGTCGACCCCGCACTTATGGAGCAGTGGTGGTATGGTGGCGGACCCCGGTTAGATGATTTGGAGGTGAAGTATGGCGACAATTCTACATTTCCTTCCGCGTATCGGGTACGAGCATATATTGCATACTTGCTCGGAAAGTTGTTGTTCGTGGATAAGAGTGGATCGAAGGTCAGAGCAGATTTTTTTCCACTGTTAGAGGAAATCAATCTGATTCGCGAGTATTCTTGGGGTTCGGCTACATTGGCCTATCTGTACCGACAGTTGGGCATGGCTACGCGAGCTGAGGCGGTGCAGATTGCTGGATGTCTGACACTATTAGAGGTATTATTATTATTATTATTATTATTATTATTATTATTATTATTATTATTATTATTATTATTATTATTATTATTATTATTATTATTATTATTATTATTATTATTATTATTATTATTTTATTATTATTATTATTATTATTATTATTATTATTATTATTATTATTATTATTATTATTATTATTATTATTATTATTATTATTATTATTATTGTTGTTGTTATTATTATTATTATTATTAATATTATTATTATTATTATTAATATTATTGTTGTTGTTGTTGTTGTTGTTGTTGTTGTTGTTGTTGTTGTTGTTGTTGTTGTTGTTGTTGTTGTTGTTGTTGTTGTTAATTATGCCGTATTATTATTTCCCGTACTGTACTGTTGGATATATGAGTATTTTCCGTGTTTCCGGCCTCCGATGGTTAACGCACATGTTACGGGAGAGCCATGGTGTAAACGGTGGCAGGTGATACATCATATTCCTAAGGACGAGGATATACTTGTAGATTATCGTAGACGTCTCGATTCGATGCGTCCGTCAGATGTAAGTATTTAGATTAAATTAATATTTTTATATTAATTATGCTTATTAATATATGTGTATTATTAAATGAATGTAGGTGAATTGGACGCCATTTGGATTGAAAGTGGCATCTGAAGTTGCAAAGACGGTTCATCACGGGACTATTCGATGGATGGATACGGTCGAGCCTTATATGCCCGATAGAGTTTTGCGTCAGTTCGGTTTCGGCAGATTAAACCGGCGGACCCAATTCGTCCGCTAAAGGGTGCTAAGAGGGAGAGAAAAATAGCATCTTACAAGGTTAACTATGAGCCTGGCGATCAGATGTGGAGTATCCCCCACACGCACATGCTTAGTCGAGATTACTATGGTCATCCGGCGCGTCAAGCTTGGGAGTCGGATCCGGAGTATATGCCGTGGTTTATAGACCACACCCACGTCCGTGTATATCCTAGTACCGAGCATGTTGAGAGAGCGGAACCATCTGCAGTTCCGGCTATATATGACCTCACCCGAGTGTTGCATCTGTACTTCTACGATAACTTGCCTCCGTCTACTATTCCAGGATATCGGCGTATGCCCGATGACTTCTTCAGGACGATCCAGGACATGTGCGCCCCATTCGCTGAGTATCTACAGTTGGACCGTGTTGATGCTGACGATCGGGATGCAGGACCCTCTCAGGGGCGACATTCTCACCGCAGGCGTAGGACGAGGGATACTTAGGTGTTCAGGACCTGATTTTCTTTTTTAAGCTAAATTTATGTTTAATAAAATATGTTGTAACCATAACCTGATTTCCATTTTTATTATTATTATTATTATTATTATTATTATTATTATTATTATTATTATTATTATTATTATTATTATTATTATTATTATTATTATTATTATTATTAATATTATTAGAACATAATATAATAATAATAATAATAATAATAACATACTAATATTTATTATAACATCATAACATAATAATAATAACATACAATGTCAATAGAAATACATTCATTTCAATAAAAAAAACAAAACTAAATCAAACACTATTTAGAATATCCCATATTTCACGTCGACTCCGCAACGCCTCTGGTAGATATGCAACACTATTATTGCTATACCTCGCCCACTGTCTATCAAACGGAGGAAGCGGACAATTGTCATTCATCTTCACATACACAAAGTGGCTTCCTGATTCAAGAAATAGTATAGTCATCTCGTAAGATAACTGTGAAACCCCTTCGGGAGACCAAAGTGGTAAATAAGTCTGATTGCCCAAGCTGCTAGTCGACAAGACCAACGCGTTGTAATATGTTGCCACAACCACGCCCACGTCTGTGATAGTCATCCACTTCTCATAGGGTGCTGGGGCGTTGTCCCAATAAGCGACACTCGCCAACACCCGATACACTAAATTACCACCACCGAAATAATCCTTGAAGAACTCTTCGTGGGTTTTAATACAGTTATAAACATCCAATCTAACATCCATCCAATCATCTTCGTGGTTCTTCACTGCACACGCGACGCTTCGATAACCACAATTACCATCCCCTTGAACGTCCGTCCACGTCACAACCTCCGGAATAAGGCAGAAATGAAGTTGTCGCATCCAAGGGGGTCGGGGAATTTGACCTATTGCGGGTCCACTCACGGTCGATGAACGAGCACGACCACGGCTAGATCTCTCAGAAGATGAACCCCGCCCTCTGTTGCCTCGTGATTGTCCTCGTCCTCGTCCTCGTCCAGACTCTTCACCTTCTCCCGGATATAATGGAAACTCATGCCCTGACCGATCCCTCTGTGTAGAGTTCTTCCGCGGTCTACCTCTCGGGTTGTCTAGTACTGCTGGCTCATTCATTTCCATAGCCCCGGGATGCATTCGTTCAAAAATGACATTTTTCACGTCCGTGATCTCAATTTCTGACCGCTCACGCAACTCATTCATTAACCCTTCTAGCCTGCCAATAGCCTGTGACCTGTGGTCGGGAACAGAACCAATACTTTCATCTAGGGAATCCCCGAATCCCGAAATAAATGTCCTCCAAAAAATGTGGACATCCTCTGCATAAAACACACCACGTCGTGCATTCACCTTTGCACGAATTTCATGTCTGCATGGGAGTCCAAGACATTTCCTCATATAACAGACGCAACCGTCTATGTCTTCATCCTTCTCATCGTCCAACATCTGCAGAGCGTTATGTGTTACAATTCCACTGGACAATATTTTAAATACGGGCACGTTGATCGTCTGGGCCCGAATCCTCTTTGATTTTGCAAAATCGGCTAGTATCTCGTTAATTTGATCTTTCATCTGTGAGTGATACTGTGCCCAAAATGTGTCAAAGCCACCCGTGGACGATTCCAACCATCTCTTCAACGCTCTATGGTTGCTCTCCACCCTAATATGTTTAGAATATGCTATGTTTCAATAAACAACATAACGCTAAGTTAAATATATATATTTAACCACTTATAAATAAATATCTGCTTGTCGATGTATTACCCAAATGGAAAATTAGATCTGTCCATACTTTTACAAATTTCTCTTTGTATACGAGCCAAGTGTCTTGGAGATACTCAATCAAATCTGGATAATTCGCGTACTCGTCCATCAAAGCTGTGTAATTCCTGGCGAAATCTTCTTCACACACTGATTTTACCAAAGTTTGCCATGTACCAAGTACAAAAGCCGTGCCACGACGCCTACTATTGCCGAGACATCTTGAAGCACGACGCCCCACATTCATGTTAATGTGCCAAAGACATAAGAGATGAGGTACGGTCGGAAATACATTCTCTAGCGCATTTATGAGCCCTAACTCTCGATCAGTCACGATGGCACTAGGTAGAGTCTGAGGGGGGAAAAGTATCTTCAGCTTTTGCAACACCCATGTGTAATGGTCTTCATTTTCATGGCGCAAAAATGCGACTGCAACAGTAAAAAATTTCCCGACAGGAGTAACACCAACAATCTCCAATAAAGGCAATTTGTACTGATTGGTTTTGTAAGTACTGTCAAGTAGTATAACGTACGGAAACTTATTTAACAATTCGACAGATTAAGGGTGAGCCAACATCAAATCAGTAACTGCATGTGTTGTTTCATCAGTACGGAACCACTTGTAATAGTTATGCTCCTCAAGCAACCCAATCAAATGTTGCATCACTGTACGGTCACCCCTAGATAGTCTTTTCAATTTCGCCTTCTCATTGTATATTTGTTTCGAATAAGCATCGAGACCCAAACCATTTTGTCTCAAGTTAGCCAAAATCTTCTTGGGCGGCACATGACTTTGTGAGAGATCACTAATGATCTTCGCCTCCTCATGAGACAATGCACTCATCCCATGCCCGGACTTGTATATCGGAACATGATTATGCTTCCCGTATACTACTCTGACCTCCCATCTATCATCCCATCGTAGCTCTCCGATAATTTGAAAACCACAGTTTATTTTTTTGCTACCGGTCCTTCTCGGGCGCGCGTCTGGGTTACTTGATGGACATTCTCGTTTCTCCCCATATAGGTCACAAGTCAGAAAAATCTTTTTTTTAGGACAGCTTCTTTTTACTATTTTCACAAAAAGACCTCTTGCAACGAACTTCACCCAAACCACTACCTCATCCTTCGAGTCAAACAACTGAGTAGTGGTAAAATAATCGGTATGATCAACTTCAATTGTAGACGTATCGTCCTGAAAAAAACGTAAAAAAATTGATTTAAAAAAAAAAAACGTTTCAAAGCCAAAAGCCCAACTCGAGCGCCCGACGGGGACCGGTAGCAAAAAAATAAACTGTGGTTTTCAAATTATCGGAGAGCTACGATGGGATGATAAGATGGGAGG